ATTGTTGTGTTGACTGTATAGTAAATGAGGCAGCTACCTCAGTACACTCCAGAGTTTAAAATAAATAAATAAATAAAAAACTCTGCCTTGTATTCTTAAAGAAGCTATGATTTGAAATGAAACTTTTTTTTATTTAAAAGACAAATGATAAAATATCGGTATCGATGTCGGTATCGGCGATACCAGCCCGAATTTTAGCGGTATCGGATCGGAAAGGAAATTGGTGGTATCGAACATCACTAATAGGGACCATAACAATTTGACGCAGAATCTGAAAATGAATCTGTGTAAATGAATTCCTAAAAATGAAACTTTAAAACCTTGAATACAACAATCAAACTCACAATCATGGTGGTCCCCTTGCTTCATTTGTTGTTACAAACTAAACAAGGAAGTTTCTTTGTTGTTTTGTTGTTTTTTTTTTGTTATAGGAGAACTGTTGGATATTTGTAGTGTGATCAAACCAACTTGTTTGCTGGAGGGAGCGTCCAGGTATCTATTCGTTTTTGTTATAGAATCATTATAATTATTATTATGATTTATTTATATATATATATTTATATATATAAGATAATATAAGATTTAAAAAAATGTTAATACAAAATTTTTTTGTTACTTAGAGATTGGTGGATTTTGCCAACGATGACGACATGTTGTCAATTGTTGCAAAAGCACCCACCGCGTTCTTGTGCTGACCGCTGTCTCAATTGTTTTGCGCAGGTTAAAGCCGGCACATGAATGGAGGATCAGTTTCGTTGTTTACCAACCTGACACTGCATCCGAGTTCAAAAAGAGCAAACCCAGGAAGCCGTACACCCACGTGTGTGTGTGTGGGTGAGTTCGGACACACCCGCCAGCTGAAGCCCGAAACCTCTTTGTTTACTCAAGAGAATAACAATGTACAAATTGAAATTGAAAAAACCCCTTTTTATACTGATTAGTTATGTAGATCCCCCAAAAGGTAGATAAAAAAAAATGTCAAAAAGATGACTTCCTTAAGTGCTGTAGAGCGCCCAAATTACTGACATACACGTTACTGACAACGTTTCCCTGTTGTCTGTCTCCGCTACGTAACAGGTTTGACGGTCCAGTTCCTGAGCTGCAGACCGTCAAACTGCTGACGTCTCAGAGCGGAGACGTCCCAGTAGTCTTTGCTGTGGTCGACCATGGAGACGTGTCCTTTTATACTATGAAAGACTTCGAGCTACCGACTGATGTCTTCCTCTGATTATGCCACCGTGAAACCTCTGCAAATTTCAACTCGGATGTGAAAATAAAGAATGATGTGCTTCTAGTTTTATATTAAGGGAGAGATTTGTATTTACACTGCAGATTAACCAAAAACAGTTTTCATTTACATTCATTTACTTCCATAGGTATAAAAGAGGTGGGTCGGGGTACCTGAGTGTATCGCCTTAGAGCTCCCCATCCCCTGGTCCGCGGACCAGTCCGTAAGTCATTTGGTACCAGGCCAGAGTGGGACACAGTGAAAAAATGTACTTATTTTCTGTCAAATCCATTTACCTTTTTTTTTTATTTAAAGACAATCTGAGTATTTCAGAATAATTCATTCAGACTGATACAAACAGAATAGAGTCTAAAGGATGTTTTATTTTGAAAATTTTAATCATCCTTCAATGCTCAGCACCTTGCTACTGGTCTGTTGTAATGGGCGGCACTGGCTGACCAGTCCTTGGAATACATGTTTCTGCAATTATTATTATTTATTATTAAAACTTTTAATTACTTAGGTTAAGAAAACCAGAATTTTCAATTTGATACAATCTTGATTAATTTTTTGGCAATATTTTTTTTTAGTAGTACATTTAATCATTTAAATATATATTTTTCATGACATATCAATCATAACAAATGACATCATTTTTACACAATGTAACCTCTTGGTTGAGGTTCTTCTTTTATGTTTCCAACTCTTGTCCAAATTGTCAAAGTGTGTTTCATTCATACATTTTCATTTTCATTTTTTATAGTTGGTAAAAACCAGTGTTTCTTAATTAGAGTTTAGTTGCTTGCACCATCGTTCCGCATACAAGATTATCCAGATTATCACACTAGAATAATACAATGAGCTGCTCTGCTGCCATCTAGTGGCTGGAGGCTTGTTTATCGTTCAAGCATGAATAAAGACACTGTACTTAAAGACCCCTCTCGCATCCTCCGTGACACCACTTCTGGGGGTGCATGCCCACTATTGAGAATCACTGGTACAAACTAATAATAATAATAATAATAATAATAATAATAATAAATAAAGGAGTGGGATTGTAGAGGTGTGGTATGGCTTTTATCTATTTAATCTGTACTTCTCCCGTTTCATTGTCGTAGTCGGTGTTTTGAAATCATATCCTTCAATCAATATTCTTTTGTTGCTGTTGTTTAGCCACGTTCAGGTACTCTGGCCTCTCCTCGTCTGCACTTGTTGCCTCAGCTGCTGCTGAACAACGGAACTGAAGCGCGCTGGACATTTTCTTCTGCAATCCCGATAACGAAACCAAAGAAAAGCTTTGTTCCCTGTTTGACAGTCCAATATTTTCACATCTATTGACGCTTCGACCGCATCTCATATGTCCTATTGTGCAGTGAATTAAATAAATAGCCGTTTTAAAAGAGCGCCACATGCTGAGCCCAAGGCAAACAGACATGTGGAGGTGGACAACGGTGGCTGTTCTGGCCTTGATGGGTGAGTTATGAAAATGTACAGAGCAGAAAAGTACAAATTTGGGTTTGTAATTGCACTTTTTTTTTTTTTTTCTATTTCTTCTCACCAGCGCAAGAGGGAATCGATTGTCAGCCTTCAAACTGCTCATACCTGCATCTACTAGATCATTTAAATCTGACGTCTGAATCATCTAAAGCTCAGTCGATGACAAGACCTGTGAAACACTGGCGCACCCAAACAGATGTTCTGCTGGACATGCTACTCTACGGTATTCTAAACATGGTAAGCAACCCTTTAGTATCAATGTTTATTTTTTTCCCCCCTCTACGTTGTAGTGCCAATAGTGAACAAAAATGATTCCTCCTGAAAAAGGCTCCATGCTTTAATAATAGGTCATTTCTAGGAAATTTTTTGAACAATAAATTAGGTCTTCGATAATTCTAGGACATTTTTTGAACAATAAATTAGGTCTTCGGTTGACTGTGAGGATGTATTGTGTGCTTTTTGTATTGTTTTACCACAAGGGGGCGTTTCGTGGTTACGCCCAGGTTGACTGTGAGGATGTATTGTGTGCTTTTTGTATTGTTTTACCACAAGGGGGCGTTTCGTGGTTACGCCCAAATAACCCGCAAATTTCTTAAGAAAGTCTTGTCCCATCGTTCCGACATACAGTGTTAAAACAACAACGAGAACTAGTTGGCAAGCGGAGGCAATATATGCGGGCTATATATTTGAGAATATATCCGATAGAGGTGGAAAGTAATTACTTTTACTACTAAGTTACTGCAAATGAGTAGTCTTTCTTTGTAATTTGTTATTTTTTTAAGTAGTTTCGGGTTTTACGTAAGTACTTTTTGACTCAAGTAATTTTTTTTTGGTTAAAAAAAAGTAAAAGAGTAAAAAAATGTATTGCTGGTGGACAGAGCTGTCGCTGTCAAAACTTACTGTGAATGTACTTTAGTGGCTGGAATTTGCACTATAAGCGTTCAGATGGATCATAGAATTCTGAACTTATGCCACATTTGCATTTGAATTGCTGATTAAAAACAACTAGTTTCAGATTGGATGTATGACTCGTCCTTCTTTGCAATCAAGTCATTTAAAGTACCAAAGAAACGTTTACTCAAAGTCAATTCTAAATTACTATATGTATTTTTTTTTACAGATTCATACTTGTTGCTCCGAAGTCACTTACATCAATAATCTCTGCAACATTTACAGATTCATACTTGTCACTTACATCAATAATCTCTGCAACAATTATCTTCTACAAGCAGAAGGGTTTTCTAGCACATAAAATGTTGTAAAATCCGTATTAGATCTGTTAAGACTTTACTTTTATTTACATACCCTATCATCAAGTCAAGTCTCATAAAAAGTACAAGATTTTCAGTAGACTAGATTTAATCGAGAAATAAACTACAATTATACATGTGCTCATTTGACCCCGCTACAAAACCCATATCACTGAATGACGCAACCTCTGTATTTATTCATACAGCCTGTATTTATTTACCTAAGTTCCTCTCTTTGTTCGCAGGATGGAAAATCTCAAACCGTCACGAGTCACGTCTGGTTACGACTGGTAAGAACCTGCTTAGCTGACTTGGATAAAACACTTGGATGAACTTTTTCACCTCCTCCAACTTTTCTTTATTTTCCCAGAGCTGGACAAATGAATTCCTAACATGGAATCCATCTGACTTCTGTGGAATAGACTTAGTGGCCATTCCAACGTCAGACCTCTGGATCCCAGACATAGCCATCTTGGAAGAGTAGGTGAATATAAACAAGACCCAAAGGACCTCATGAGGGTTAGAATAAAAAAGAAATGAGCTTCTTGCTTTTGATTGGCTGCATTGGTTCCATGATGTACGTCAGTAATTCAAATATAGTCCAGACAGGAAAATACACAAAAATTAATTCACTGTACGTTATGTTCCATGTGACTCCTGCCTTTTCCCTGCAATTCCCACGTTTCCCCAGTAGATGGCGAAGAAAAGGCTAAAAGCCTTTTAGCGGTTTTAGCGTTAAGTGTGACTTTTACCTGTCATTTATCTTAGTTCACACAAACCCTCCATTTATCTGCTCCTGACCCGGCCCCTCTGTTAAATTTTTTCCACAAGGTGGTTCTGGCGACTATTTCTTTTTTTTCATTGTGACACAGAGGTGGCGGATCCATCATCGGAGGTGGCAGATCCAATTAAACCCCGGTTGAACCAGGCAGGAAGTTGATAGAGCAATTATCATCAGTTGGAAGGAAGGCAGCTTTAGCTTTATTGAAGACCTACTTCGTGTCATGTTTGGGAGCGTAAGTTGGTAGATGTGTCCATCGAGCACCAAAGCTCGGATAGGATCTGAAAATTGGGCTAGCAACCACAGTTCCAATCGAATGTGTCCATCGAGCACCAAAGCTCGGGTAGGATCTGAAAATTGGGCTAGCAACCAAGTGTGCTCAATTGAGTGATTAGCAGCAGAGGGTAAAGACGATGGCGATGACTGACACATTGTCTGTTAGCTAACAAGCTAGTCCTTTTTTTCAGTTCTGGTGATGGAAACATAGCTTCTGGTACCCAGTAAGAGCTTTGAGTGGTAAAATGGTTATAAAGATATACATGTCGCTAGAATCACATTCTACCGTTGAGTCATTGCATTCCTATTGTCCCTCCAGTGTCTCGGACAGTGGGAGTGTCCAGCGGAGTCCGTTGTCCACTTTGCACCCCAGCGGATTGGTGTTGGCCGAGAAGCGCCAGCGTCTAACCACTACTTGTCGTCTTGATCTCTACATGTTTCCCTTTGACAAGCAAATCTGCAACATCACATTTTCATCTGTGAACTACAACGGTAGGTTCCACCAGATAAGCTTGTTGAAATGTTGCGATCCAGTCATTTATTTTTCCTCTTTCTCTTATGTTGTGTGTCTTTGTAGAACACGAACTGAAACTTGGAACATGGAGGGGCGGAGCGTTTCTTACCTCAGTCTCTGAAAAGTTAATGATCACAGAGGGAGAGTGGCAACTCGTCAACATGAGCATTTTGGTGTCATCTGTTGGAAATGATAATTCTTCCGTGAGCAAACTTATTTATATGGTAAGAGAAAAAACAAAACAAAACACAGCATATACAGCTCAGTGACGTACCGTTAAGGCCAGCAAGGCTGCCCTAAACAATATCAGAGTGAGCGACTTAAGTTTTTATAAATTAGCATGAATAATAATTATTCATGCTAATTATTCATTAGCATGAATAATTATTAAACAATACCGAGTAGTCTATTCTCATCATTCATTTTCATCCTCAGCTTTCCTCTTGGTTGCGCCGAATCTGGTCGTGTATACTCAAGTTTCGTTCTCCAATCATATATTATCCTTGTGTGTTGCCAGGGTGAAAGAAATCTGCCCTAAGGCCTTGACAGTCAGTAGTGTGAGAGCCTTAAATCAATGGCAGATTCTATTTTTTTTTTTTTTAACCAATCAGATTTTGAATTGGCAATATCAAGGCCTTCCACTTGAGTTATTTGATTGGATGGTCAGAGAATGCACAGTATGAATCTAGATATCTGTATCCAGCTCGAAAATTACGTTTTTCCTGCGTCCACTGCTTCTGTCAAGCATATATTCTCAACCTAAAGTGAATTAAAACTTAAATTATATAATTATAATTCTTAAATAATGAAATACTTATAATACTTATAAATCCGATAGGACCTTCAGCATTAGGAGGGATGGCAATAGAAGGAGTACTTGTTGTTTGAAAATCCTAAAATATTAACAAAAGAAAAGTTTTTGATAAACCCCTTTTACGCACTTTAAAATAGAATGTAAGATGTTTATCACTGCTGTCAGTGTGAAAATAATGATTATGTGAAATTATATATTTTAATATATAAATAGCACCTGAGTCTAAGTTGCAAACCCAGCCAAATGATAAAAAAAAACGCACGACTTATAGTCCAGAAAAAAACGGCAAAATTTGACTTCTGTCTAGAAAATACGGTAGCTTTGTGCTGTTAAACTGTTTCTAATACACTTGCGCTTTCTTCTTGGATTTCATTTCAGGTCACAATATCACGGAAGCCGCTACTCTACATCATAAATCTGATTGTGCCGCTTTTATTTTTTCTGCTCCTGGATGTGGCTTCCTTCTTAATAAGAGGTGACAGGCTGAGCTTCAAACTGACCATCCTACTTTCCATCTCAGTCCTTTTACTCATTCTTCAAGACATGCTACCTTCCACAGAGGAGACCCTGCCTTTGATTGGTAAGCACTGTACAAGGTATTCCCAGTTAGTAGTAACTTCCAGTCAAATAATAAAATATTCCTACAGTACCATATTTTCTTTCATATTTATAAGTCGCTCCAGAGTATAAGTCGCACCAGCCAAACGCGGCTGGCAGTGAGAGAAAAAACATACAAGTTGCTCCAGGGTATAAGTTGCACCAGTGCCCTCTAGCGGCTGGCAGTGTGAAAATAACAAAGTTTTAAATGAATTTTCAATATGTTTTTAATATATAAGTCGCACCTGAGTGTAAGTTGCAAACCCAGCCAAAGGATAAAAAAAGAAACTTCAAAATCTGAAATTCCGATTTCTGATCAGACTATAGCCTTCTGGAGGTTATTTTGCTGTATTATTACTAACTTTATGTTACTTCCAGGATTTTACTATTTTTGCTCTATTTTTCCTAACTTTATGTTACTTCCAGGATTTTATTTTTAAGAATTTAACTTCATTAGGCTTCATTAAGATCCTACCTTTATGCTGACTTTTGTTCTATTTTGTTTAGCTAACTACTGTGTGACAGTTTTCACACTGGTGGGAATCAGTATCCTAGAGGCCATGCTGGTAAACTTTTTACTGAGTGTTGACGTGTGCTGTGCAAAGAGGACGTCTGCAAAGTCTGCAGAATCCCAACTGGAAATTCAGATGGACGTCAAATCTCACACAGGTAAGCGAGACCAGAGAACATATTAAAGAAATGAAATAATGTAATCATATGTTAGTGAAGCCCAGGCAGTTGACTAAGAGTAGCAATGAACCGTAAGTGAAACTTTAAAAAAAAAAAATTAAAAGAGTAGTCAGAAAGAGGCTAAATATATAGCATGACTGCTCATAGTCTCATTTTATTTTGCTAAATATTCTTCAGAAAGAGGCTAAACATATAGCATGACTGCTCACAGTCTCATTTTATTTTGCTAAATATTCTTTCTCATCCAGAACATGGAGGGGCCACAAAAAAAGTCCAGACAAAGTTGTCAAGGATCCAGGATGAACATCAACTGCTGAAACTAATCTTAACGGAAGTAAAAGCCACTCGAAAGCAAACAGAGAGAGAAGCCAAGGAGGGCAAAAAAGTTGGACGCTTTGCTAAATTGGCAGCGATCATTGATACTGTCTACTTCATCCTCTACTTAATTGCTTTCGTTGTTTACATTGTGTGCATGTATTACGAATGGGTTAATACTTATTTCTCAATGAAATAAAATATGAGTGAGGGGTTGTTTTTTTTTTGCAATGTTTATATTTGACACGAGTCTAGTCGTTCTCAATGCATTCTCAATTCCAACTTCTTTTTTAATGTGAATTAGCTATCTAATAAAGTTAGTAATAAAGATACAGTTTTTGTACTGTATACCCTTCATGACAAAACCCAGCTTCGGACCTTCTGAACAAAAAGAAAACACAAAAATATAGTAAAAATAGCTAAAATAATACGTCCATATATACATACTGTATATAAGAACGACAGATTAGGTTTGCAAACATATTACTGACAATTATATACCAAAATATGGTAAAACACCTTTATCAAGAAAATTAATGTTCTAATGGCTAATGGCAATGAAGGCAAATTGTTTTACGGTTTGCCTTCATTGTACAATGTCCTTGAGCACTATAGGAGCACCTGTAAATACAATGTTTTATTATTATTATTATTATTATTATTATTATTATTATATTATTACGATAAAACATAACATTTAAAATTGAGAACGCTAAATATACGAAGATACAAAAATACACAATATACACTAAAGTCTGGACAGCAAAATTGCAATATAATTCCTTTCAAAATAACAGTTTGGAAATGATTCAAACGTAGTGTGAGTGCAACTGAAAAGGCGCACACGTCAGCGATAGACTTTTACTTTGAAAAACAGACACCTTGCCGGAGCAGTAGGTCGTCAGATTTTAGGTGGGCTTCTTCCGGTCAGCACCAAACAACTTCATGTGACCGTTTTCGCTTCCCTTTAGTTGTCAAAAGTAAGAAATGACTTATGTTACTGCCGTGGCAGAGCTCAATGCTCATTCAGGCCGCCAGTGAGGCTCCAACCACCGGCTTGTCACTCTGAGCTGGACATTTAGCCTCCCAGCTAAATTAGCAAAACACAGGAACTCGTTGGAGGTAGGAATGACCACAAAAAGAGCTACATCTTTAATTTCGCGTCTGCGTTTATCGTGACGCGAACGACATTGTGTTTTATGAAACGCAGGTAGAAATATTTAAAACAGCAAAGTAATCCGACTTAATATTTTGTGCGAATATTTGCACTTGAAATGCTAGCAAACGAGTTGTAAAGGTAAACTGCATATGTAAACACAAGTCTGAAGCGACTGTTTTAGATATGCACACGCTTAGTGAGTTATATGAGAATTTCTAAAGTGTGAGAATATTGAATTGCCACGCTTAGCGCTTAGTGAGTTATATGTGTATTTCTAAAGTGTGAGAATATTGAATTGATTTGAATCTTTAATGTTACATTGTAATTTCTTTTTCGTTACGCAGTTCGTATTTTGGTAACAACGTATCTCACAGCAGGTATATACCGTCACCATGGCCGGTGGAATAACAGAGACCGGTGAACCATACTCTGCCTTTGTAAGTATTTACAATATTATTAGGCTTCATCCTGAACCTAATAAAATTGATTACAATGAATGTGAATGTGACGGTTTTACGATTATGAAGAATAGCAGTGGTGTCTTGTCTTGTGTGCTGTGTCACAATGGCAAGTAGTTAACTTTCTTTCCTTTCTTTATTATAGTATTGTGGGCCAACTAAAAAGTGCATCCACTAACACAAAAACACCCAAAACACCTAAAAGAAAAGAACAAGTTTAGAGCAGCAAAGTACGGTAGTAAAGTATAGTATAGAGCTATAAAAATAATAACAGTTAAAGTAATTGGACATATCACAGTTGTTAATGTAAAATTGAAGTGAATGATATTTCACATGACAGTGACGACATTAGTCTGATTGTACTCTCTGACAGCAGCCGAGAGAAGTGACCTTGGGTACTGCGTCTTCAGACATTTTGGGTGTTTCAGTTCGGAGAGGGGGCCGTTCACAAACTTAACTTTGTGGACATTGAATTTGTCAGAGAAGAAAACAACCAAAGAATGTTACCTTTACATGGTGTAACTTACCTTGTGTCTCTATTTTTTTTTTTTTTTTTTTAAAACAGGTGGGGCTGGTGTATATGTTCAACCTCATTATCGGCACTGGAGCGCTTACCATGCCCAAAGCCTTTGCCACAGCTGGTTGGGCCGTCAGCTTAGTGCTCATTTCCTTTTTAGGATTCATGAGGTCAGTTCACTTCTAGAATTTCCGTCTGGTTAGCCGGCTGCTCGCGTGACCTTTTCTCTTGATTGTGACAAACTGAGTAGTTTCCTCAACACTTGAGTCAGCATTATTTCAAAAATGTGCTCGCCGCTTCCGTTTATTGACCCCTTCCTGTGCTACACTAAGTCCAGAAAACACCGTTTTATCTCACAGCAGTTGCTTATTGTGTTCAGTTTGTTCTCAGATTCATCTTAACAAATAAATGTAATACTATAGGTCACGGTTTAAAGTCACTAATGGAGACATCAATGTATCTGTTAGCGTAAAATTAGCGATATAAATTCATTCAGGAGTCTCCTCAACCTATTGGAAATTAAAATTAATAATCGCTTCATAGTGAATATCTTAGCTTTGGTAACAATATAAATTGTTTCTGACAGAGGCAGATTTTTGTTTTTGAATATAAATAGTTTCTGACAGAGGCAGATTTTTGTTTTTTTTACTTTTAGTTTTTGCTCTTCTCTCATCAGCTACATGACTACGACATTCGTGATAGAGGCCATGGCAGCAGCCAATGCCCAGCTGCGGTGGAAGAGGAGAGAGCAGGAGGAGGAGGTGAGATTGATTGCTTTGTGCCTATTTGTCACCCTCCGTTTCAGTTGAACAACTTGTTTGCCCGTGGTATTTACCCAATAATGAAAGAACTGTGATTCATTGTAGGTTGTTTAAAAAAAAAAAAAAAACAGTTTAAAGAGACAAAAATGGCTAAAAATGTATACCCTTCTCCTCAGATTGACAGCGAGTCTTCAGAGTATTCTTACGACGATGTCATGGTCCGAGGTCGGTCGGAGACGGAGACCAAACCCATCCTGTCTGTTCGTGAGTTTACGTGAATTTTCAGTGCAGTGTTGATATGTGAAGATGACCCTTAGATGGCTGTCGGTTGACCGCATGTTTCCACAGAGAGGTCTGGGAGTCACGTTGATCACTTTGACATTGTGGAGAGGGTAGAGATGGGTCAGATGGCGTCTATGTTCTTCAATAAAGGTAAGGATTATAGAAATAATGTTTTAAAAATGTAATTAGACAAAAATGAAGTTTCAATTTAAAAAAATATATATAAAACATATATTTAATACATTTTTTTTACTGAGTCTGTTTAAATTGGTGCGGAACTAATTAGGTGCTGGTTATATTTCAGTTTCTCACTCAAGAATAAAGCCGTTTTATTTAAACAAAAACAGGAAAATCCGCCCAGGGGCATTGTCTCAGGTGATGATATTCTACTTTCTCTGTCATCTTTTTTTTTTTCACTCCAACAATCCTTCTCACGTGCTATTTCTGAGACTACACCAGTAAAAATTCGCACACTAATATCAGTTGGTAAAAACACAAACAAGGTATCGGGGCAAGCCTACTATTAAGAAGGCAAGACGGCGGAAATGTGTTCATGTGTGAAAAATAGAATTGAATTTGTCAGGCTGAGTACCCGTTTTGTTACTTTATTGCAGGACCAGAACAAAGAAAGGCTAAATTAAATATTTACGTTTTAATATGTGTATGTCTGTGTATATATACTGTGTATATATATTTATATATATATATACATACATACATACATATACACATACACATATACATATACATGTGTACTGTATGTATATGCATAACTAATATACTGTGTATAAATATATTACATATATCTATCCTATATAATATTGTGTATGTATAGTAACCCCTAGTGATAATAGCTGCATACATATATATGTATATATGTATACATATACTCTGTGTGTGTGTATATATATATATATACATACTCTGTGTGTGTGTATATATATATATATACATACTCTGTGTGTGTGTATATATATATATATACATACTCTGTGTGTGTGTATATATATATATATATATATATACACACACACAGAGTATATGTATACATATATATGTATTTATATATATATTTTTTATACGTAAAACCTATTTAATTTAGTAATAACAATAGTCTAATAAGAATATAATAAAAAAAATAATAACTGAGATTGCAATCTACAACACCACACACGGCAACAATTATTACCTGATAATCTACCAATACTACTAACACTAACCTATCTACTGCTACTGATCTACTGACGTCCACTGTATAGGTTTCTCAACCGTGTGCTGCTACTCATTTTGTGTTTTGTTGTATTTATTGTATTTTACTTATCTGTGTGTTTTGACTGTTGCTTTGGTGCTGCGAAGGGAACTCCCGAGAGATTAATAAAGTTCTATCCGTCTATCTGTCTATCTAATATCTATAATAATACTGTCTTTTACGGGGCAGCGGTGGCTTAGTCGTTAGGGAAGCAGACTTGCTTCCGAAAGGCTTCAGGTTTGAGTCCACCAGCTGCCAAGGTGCTCTGAAGACAAAGCTCCCCGGGGCAGAGGCCACATTTGGTTGTGTGCAGTGGTGTGCTGTGGTGTGTGACAAAGACAAAAAGTAGTTCACTTTCCTTCCATTCCTTCCTTTGTCTCACAGTTGGTGTCAACATGTTCTACATTTGCATAATTGTGTACCTTTACGGAGACCTGGCCATCTATGCTGCTGCTGTGCCTATATCACTGATGGAGGTGGCCTGGTAAATTCCATCACGTTTTATATTGTGTTATACAAATACTTCCAATTTTCAGTTTAATAAACTGTTTACAATTTCTTGAGCCCGTTGACAATTTCCTCCTGTCTTTGACGTCTCAGTCCTGTCCACTTGATTCCAGACATATTGTTTCGGGGAGATGATTCTAATCTGACATCGGAACAGTTTACAATAAATTGTTTATTTATGATTTTTGCATTACATTTATATGTGTTTTGTTTCTCACGTCCGTCCGTCTGTGCAGTGGAAACCATTCTTGTAGCACTGACGGGGTGAAGTACAACGACACAGATCCATGTTGGGGTTCTGTCACAAGGAAAGACGCCTACAGAGTTTTCCTGGCAAGTGTGCACGTCTTGTTCTAGAAACTTGGGCCGAGCCGATAATCAGGACCGGTATTGATCCGATATCGGTCTATACTTCATGCCTAAGAAGAAAGAAGGGTATGAGATAGCTCTAACCCTCAATGCCCTAATACGCATTGGTTTCACCTCTCATTCAAGAGGCTTCTTCAGTTCTAGATTGAACTAAAGAAGTTTCTCGGATGAGAGGTGAAACGTCTTCAAAAAAAAAAACCTACTTCGTCCAGTTGCTCTCGATGTAACAATTTTGAATTAAATGACCTGGACGGCTGAGAACCTACACAGACAAGGGTATCGGATTGATATAACTATCGGCACTGTCTAAAACAAATGTTCGTTTTGATTTTTGTTTTGTGTATTAAATCGAATTCCAACGAATCAGACTAATTACCTTTCAGTTGCCCGTTCTTTCGTGGCCTCGGGGTCGCTCCTAGAGTCAGATGAATTCTTACTTCTTCTGGGTGCAGGATAGATTTCTAGTGTTTATTGATTGTTACGTTTGGTTATTGCAACCCCCAGTAACTGTTGTCTCTTCTCTTTTTTTACAGAGCACATTTACTGTACTGTTGGGTCCTTTTACCTTCTTCAGCGCACAAAAGACCAAGTATCTTCAAATCCTCACCTCATTAATGCGCTGGATTGGTAAGACTGAATTAATCCTTCAGATCCTTCTCAATAATAACTGTTGATTTACAAAAAAAAACGAATTCCTGAAATGTTTCACTTTTAGGAACTTGTACTCCTCCTTTACGTAATTAATCTACTGCCAACTAGCTATAACCAAGAATTATACATATTAGATTATTAAATGTTCATGTTCAATTTTGGGCAAAAAGAAAAACTACTGTATATCTAAGTGACAAACAATTAGCAAAAAAAAAAAAAAAAAGCCGAAATATCTCAAAACAAAGCAGAGTCGTGGATATGTGTTTGTTAGCACCTTTTCTTTGGTTAAAAAAAGTGCTGCGTATTGTAAAGAATTCATCATGTGATGACACACAAAACAAGGGACGTCAGCAGATTATACAACACACAGTAAATGTATTTAGTTAAAGTTTTGTAGAAATATAGGGTGTCAACTGACTGGAAGCATTCAAAGTCCACTTCCTCAGGGGTAAAACACATGTGCGCTCACTTCAGCACATTACAAGCGCAACTGCCACACACTATGTTCCAACAGCAATGCATTTTGGTATAGTACACATAAGTATCGTGTAACCAGGTAGAGGCTGCAATATATGGCATCTGTAATACAGTACGTACGCTCAGTTAATCCGCTGGTGTCGGTGTAGGGTATAAGTGATCAAAATTTCAAATGTTTTATGGCTTTAATAATGTAACATTACAATGAAATATATATATATATATATACAAATATATATATATATTTCAAAGATCAAAAATTATCAAAATACTCCCTCCCTTTAGTTGAAAGACGGCCTTAAAGCTAAGATAAAAGGTTGTTATAAAAAGGGCAAGTTAGTCGCAACATAGCAACAAGTACTCTACAGTGAAACAAAAAGTTAGAATAGACATAAAATATATGTATATTTTAATGTTAATTGAATGTCAAAATGAACAATAAAACAATGTTACACTTTAAAGGTACACGTAAAATGTCTTCAAGTTACCCCTGAAGAAATTATAACGCAGCATGTGCTAGAATTGACCTAAAATGGACAAAGATAACGCTGGGATTTCACAAGGACAAAAAGCATTGATGTCATTGATTTCCAATAATACGTGTATATATAGAGTATATCCTATATGTACATATATCCTATATGTTCATCTTGGTGTAAAACAGCTGCAAAGCAGTGGCGCTGTCCTTTCAGTCGCAGCTCACCGATGTCTTTGACCTTGGGCTTATCACTGGAATAGCTCGCACGTAAGTGTCCCATTTGTTCTTGTAATGACGGGGCCCCACCCCCTCCACATATGAAGCTTCTATGAAACTGTGCTGCAAATGACAGTGATTACCTCTCACCTTCTACCAATTCACTTGATTAAGTAAGTCCATGAATCCCATTTCTTGTGGGTCGGCTGCTGCGAAACTGTTCTTGACCAGTGGATGACTTTAAGGGTATTCGTGAGAGTCGGTCAGTCAGACTGTTCTATATATACACATACACACATACATATATACACATGCATATATACACATGTGTGTGTATATATATATGTGTGTGTGTGTAGTTGCCTTCCAAGACCGACTGCAAATGGGAAAAATTGCAGTAGAGGCGAGATGGTTATTATATTATTTACCCTTTAGGAAGCCTGTTGTTGTTCGACTGTTGATAACTCTTATCAACAGTCGAACAAAAACAGGCTTCCTAAAGGGGAAAAAATATAATAAACATCTCGCCTCTACTGCAATTTTTCCCCTTTGCAGTCGGTCTTGGAAGGCAACTACACACACACACATATATATATATATATATTTATATATATGTATGTATATATATGTATATATATGTATATATATATATACGTATATATATATATACATATATATACATATATATACATACATACATACATATATATATATATATATATGTATGTATGTATGTATATACAGTATATATATAGTGAGCATTTAATTAATGTAGGGTAATGACCTAAGTTAGACACAGGAGGGTACTGTTGTTGTTCGACTGTTGATAACGCTTATCAACAGTCGAACAAAAACAGGCTTCCTAAAGGGGAAAAAATATAATAAACATCTCGCCTCTACTGCAATTTTTCCCCTTTGCAGTCGGTCTTGGAAGGCAACTACACACACACACACACATATATATATATATATATTTTCTTAACAACATAAAATGTTTTCCAGACATTGTGGTTTGTTCTTGAGCATTGTTTGGGTCGTGCGGTGTAAAGTGTTGTCAACACGCTGTTACAGCCTCAAGTGTGATACGAAATAGTAAGGAGTCTTTTCGTTTTAGTGATAGTTACATGAAGTGTTTATGCAATTTTTTTTTTACTTTTTAAAATTCATCAAGCAGGCCAGCCGTATGTTTGACATCCCTAGCTATAGATAGTTTCTGGTCGCCGTGCTCTCCATGTTCTGTCTGTTAAATCCCTTGATCGTAGGCAACAGGAAACTGATCAGTTCTGCGTCACACCCTGGAATCAGGCAGAGTAGGGGAAAATGCCTTGCATAAAATCTTTTCCCACGTGTGTGCGGAAAGCCATCATCCTTGGGTTACCTTCGTAATGTCAGTCTGTGTTTAAAGGGCAGCGGGTGATAAAAGCGGAAGGGCTGGCTGCCGTCCATCACAGGGCTGTGACTAACGCTTGGTGTCCTGGGACTAATTGAGAAAGTGCTGAGGTGAATCTGTCCTTATGCAGCAGTGTGGCAGAGAAGAGGAGAATTCTTTTAGTCGCCCCCCCCCCCCTTTGATGTACTTTAAAGGAGTTCCAGAGTTACATAGATGAGACTGGAACGGCCTGAGGCTGCAGGTTCAATTGCCCTACTCTTGCCACCATGACATTATATCAAGCAGTGAAATGGTTCTACAATTTGGTTTTTATGACATGTGACATATGTGACATTTTTAGGACACACAGCTGGAATACTGTGCTGCTCTCAAAGAAGGACATTCGTTGACGTGATGTTAAAGAGCCGAGCCATATCATCTTTAAAAAATATTTCCTTTCCTTAACCTTTTAAAAAACTTGGTTTCCAGGTAAATTCATTACCGTATATTTTAGACTATAAGTCACACTTTTTTTTCATCCTTTTGCTGGGTTTGTGACTTATCCTCAGGTGCGACTTATATATTAAAATATATAATTTTACATGTTGTTATTTTCACACTGACAGCCACTAGAGGGCACTCTAGCTGGCTGGCTACTACGGGTTAACTTATAAATGTTTTTTGCTTCTTCATTATATGCATTTTTTTTGCCGGTGCGGCAAATATGGTATTTCTTTTTTGACATGATTTCCCTCGTCGGTGATTTTTTTTTTTCCACTTTTGTTTTTTGTCCTCCACAGCATTCACCATGATGATTGTCCTGGCTCTTATCCAAATCACCAAACACTCTGGTAAAGGCAATCCACCCGTAGCCTCCTTTTCGGGAGTTCCCAATCTGTTTGGCGTGTGCGTGTACTCCTTCATGTGCCAGCACTCGCTGCCCTCTCTGATAACACCCATTTCGGAAAAGAAGCACGTCGGCCGACTGGTTTTAGCAGACTATACCCTGATCCTGGGCTTTTACATGCTCCTCTCCTTTACCGCCATCTTCTGCTTCGACAGCTCCCTGCTCCACGACATGTACACTCTCAACTTTACCGACAACTGCGATGTGCTTGGCATTCCAGTGCTGCGCTACTTCCTCGGCCTGTTTCCGGTCTTCACCATTAGCACAAACTTCCCCATCATCGCCGTCACGCTTTGCAACAACTGGAAGACCCTGTTCCACCGGGATGGCGGCACCTACCCCTGGGTGGTGGATCGCATTGTGTTTCCCCTCATCACTCTGATACCCCCGGTCTTGGTGGCCTTCTGTACACACAACTTGGAGTCCCTGGTAGGCATCACGGGTGCTTACGCCGGCACAGGGATCCAGTATGTTATCCCAGCCTTTCTCGTGTATTTTTCCAGACGCCATCTGGAACCCGTGATGGGAAGAGATGCTGTTAACAAGCACCAGTCGCCGTTCCGTCATGCCTTTTGGGTGTGGTTTGTTTTGCTGTGGGCCGCCTTCTGCCTCATGTTCGTCACAGCCAACATTATTTTGACGGACACGAGGAAATGATTTATGAACCATTTCTGAAACTCCCCCCCCCCAAAAAAAAAACAAAAAACAACAGTAAATCTGTGTGGCCAGTTTCTCAGTTCTTATACCCAAGGCCTTACCTGCTGCTGGTTGGACAGTGTGCCTTTTATGCAGATTTTGTTGCATAAATTAGAAATGTAAATTATCAGTTTTAAGGGACCAAAAATTCATGGTTGGGTTTTAAATTCTTAAAGTTCGCATGACGAAATAAGAATTTATTATAATTATCTTTTGTAAACAAAAAAAATTCCGAAGTCTTTCTTCGTATTTTTTTTTTTTTTCACGTTTCCACTGTAAAATAACTGCTTCTAATTTTTCATACTAAAACTTCTCTTCCACCGCATTACCAGAATCTATGTGGAATTTTCAGGGTACTAAATGGTTTTGCGTTATAGTGGCTTCGCACAAACGCAGTGTTCTCTGATCTTGATGATGTAAGCTTAAAAAAAAGGCTTAAATGTTTCCTATTTTTATGCGTCTTTTTACGCAGGTACTAAGCAACTGTTTTGAAGAGGACGATGTTTCTGGTACTTGTACTTGGTTTCTGGTCTTTAAAGATAAAAAGAACTCTAAAATAGAGTTTCTTATAATGCCCCTGATTCCAGAAACTAGATTCCAAGGATAAAATTAATGACAGTAAAAATAATTACAATTTTGAAAAAGTACAGTTACATCAACAAAAGTGCAATAACATACGGCGTCTCAAGGACTCAAGGTGCTTAAATAAAACAAAACTAGTTTGTTATAGGAAAAACAACTTTCCCTGAGAGTCAAGAGTCATGAATATAACAGCAGAACAGGCAACTTGCTGGTTTACCGTATTTTCCGTACTCTTAAGTTTCACTTTTTTTTTTTCTTCTAAACTTTGGCTGGGTTTTTGACTTATTCTCAGGTGCGACTTATATATTAAAATATATAATTTCTCATGTTTATTATTTTCACACTGACGCAATCTAGGCTTGTGTGCCAGTATCTGCTACTCCTGTACCACTGAAAAACACCGCTAGAGGGCACTAGTGTGACTTTTACTTTAGAGCGACTTATATATGTTTTTTTTCTTCTTCATTATGCTTTTTTTGGCTAGTGCGACTTATACTCTAAAGCGAGTCTAGAAAATACGGTACTCATTTAAAAAAAAAAAAAAAAATTTAATGTTCAAAATGTCACGAGTTAATAAAGCAGATTGTAGGTCTATTTGCTCACATTTGTATAGTATATACCAGTATATCTGGTCTGGTTTTTTTACATTCTGTTGTCTGATTGGTCTAAACTTTTACTGGACTGTGGCAGAGAATTAGAATAGTGGACGGTTTCTCAGGCCAGTGCAGCAGTAAGCATAAATGCAACCTGGGAAATGGCTTTTAAATCCCCGAGCATAAAAGCCCTTTATAGACAAATGCTCAGCACACATCTGTTCAAAAAGTCTGCACAGATTCTCATTGATGCAGCTCATAGTACTTCAAAGTGGGTGAGTCAGTGATGCTTGGAGTATGGTTGAAAATGTCTGACCTTTTATACAGGAAAGTTCTTTAGTGTGCATTAAAAAAAAAAAGAAAAGACATTTTCAGAGTTGATAATCAAATAGACAATTATCATTCAAATATCTGTGGGAATTATTATTATTTTTTAATCAGAATTTGCAAAAAATGTCATATCTGCAGTTATTACTAGCGTTATACCATCAGTCAAAAAGAGTCTTTTTGAAACAGATCTACTTCAAGGGTACTGGGTAATATGAACATGTACTTTTTGTTTGATACACACTTACTGAAATATGTAGTGAATAATAATAATAATAATGCATTTCCCACCATTGTAATTGCATCCATCTGAACATCATCCCAAGTGTAATTGATTTAAAAAGGAACAGCAACGTAATTAATTACAATTGTTTTAACCATCTTGTTGACTAGTTGTGGCGCTTTGGCCCAGAGGCATATATGTGACATATATACTGTAT